AGGTAATATTCCTAAAGTCACATAGCTTGGAGGTGATGAATCAAAGATTCAAAATTAGATTTTTCTTCATCTAGGGATAGACTTTTCCCCAAAACTACACTGCTTCATATAGATTGCTCTCTTGGACACTATCCATTTATATCCATGACCTTAATTCTAATGGAAATTACATTTGGATTAGATACATAATGAAAGATTAAACATGAACATTTAAGTTTCAGTTTGAGGTTAAGGAAGTTTGAATCAGAAAGAGAATTTAAACTTTGCAATGAGACTTACAGCATGCCCACCATGAATAAGCAAGGGCTAATTAAATCTCTGTATCTGAAAATATTGTTACAAAAATTAGTACACAGAACAAACTGAGCACCTACTGGTATAAAGGTAAAGTTATTAAGAATGTAAATGTGGATGTTACCTTTTGAAAGAAAAGCTTATAGTCAGAGGAGATAAATGATGAACAATGAAATACCTACCACAGACAGATCTGTATATATTCTTATCTAATGTTCAGAAACAGTGTATATATATTAGTCATTTGTACTTGTGTTAACACTTAATTTTTTGTACTAATTTAGAAAGTAAAATCTTTTGGTTTATTAAAATGCCATTTGACAAAATTAACAATGTGTATGTAATGAACTAGCCGTCTTTGAATTTTTTTAAATTTAATTTTTGGTTTTGCTTCCAACATTTTTTGTGAAAAACTTTGAACATACTGCAAAGTTGAACAGATTCTACCACATATGTACACATATATACACACACCTTATGTATTTATTCAAGCTTCTTTTCTTTGATGGTATTTGGAATTACAGTTAATACCTATAAAGATTTTGATCTCTCAGATTTTTCTCATTTTAGTACTTTCTTGGTTTCATTTTTTTACATTTTAAATTTATTTTGGTGTCAAAAATCCAATGTTTTCCCCTGTTTTCTGCTTAGTTTATGGGATTTACATATTTAAGTCTATTTTTAGCTTACTAAAATTAAGAATTTAGGAGGAAGGTGGTATTTAATATATATCTGGGTCATGTTTTGTACATTCTTACATTTATGTAGTTCCATACTTAATTATTATATATTAATATAGTTTTTTTTCAGAATTTTCCTGGCAAGTACTCTACCTCTGAGCTATACCCCTAGCCCAAAACAAGGTATATAAATTTATTAGTTTTGACAAATGTGTTCCGTTGTGTACCACCACCCACCACAGTCAATACCTAGTTCTGTTGCCCTAAAAAATTCACTTGTGCTGCCTATTTGTAATCTTTCCCTTAACCCCAACCCTAAGGGGTGGTCTCACTGGCTCTTGTCAACAAAATATATGTTACCTTCTCAGTATCTCTAACCACCACCACTATCTGGTTTAATATCTTACCTGAATTAGTGCAGAAGGTCATATTGCTTCCATTCTTGCTGTAATAATCAGTTTTCCATACTATGGCTAAAGTGATTTATCTGTCACAGGATAAAATCCAGGTGCCATAAGATACAACATTCAGGATCTAATCTGGCCTACCACTCTGGATGGCATTTCATTCACAGACTATTTGCTGTACCTTAAGTCAAGAAAGCTTGTTTCTACTTCAGGGTCTTCAGAGTTGTCATCCTCCATGCTGGCATGTTCTTTCCTCAGACATGGTTTGCATCCTCACTCCTAAAGTACCACCTCCTTCAAGGACAACTCTTAAAATAAATGTGCTCCCCCTTCCCTTTAATTTTCTTTATTCCCCTGTGTTTTTTTTTTAATTTTTTTTTATTCTTTTTACTTGTGCATTATTCTTTATAGCATTTATGGATAATTAAGAGTACCTATTAGTTTAATTATAGACTGTGTGTAATTATAGCGTAATTTATGATCTGTTCTCCCCATTAGAATATAAGTTCCTTGAGGGAAAGAACCTTGTTCTGCTCACTCCCAGCCATATCCTTTGCAAATAAGACCTGGTACTATCATCAGCTTTCAAGTTAAAATTATTATGAATACGTTAGTTAAAGAATATACATAGAATACCTGTGTAAAGAAACAAACTGGGAGCAGAGATTAATAACAGTGGAGAGGCTCACTTTCAGTTTCAACAAAACAAATTATTTTCTTTGCCACATACATGTATTACTGACAGACTCACCCCCAAATTTTAAAGGCAGCATACTAGCAAATTAATAATTATCTATCAATATGGCTTATTCTGAAACCGTTTTTGACTAGATGTCATGGTGCATATTTGTAATTTCAGCTACTTGGGAAGCTGAAGCAGGAGAAGATTGAGGCCAGCCTCACCTGTCTCAAGAAAAAAAAAAAAAACAGCACTTAGGGTGTAGCTCAGTGGTAGAGCACTGCTGGTTTCAATCCCCAGTATGAATGAATGAATGAAAAGAAAAAGTAAAACCCCTTTTTTACATGAAACTTAGGCAAATTGAAATAAGTACAATACAAACTAGTATTTAAGGCAGCAGAGTCCAGTGGAATTTCCTGTGATGTTGGAAATGTTTGAATCTGTTATCACCCAGCATAGTAGATGTTAAATCAGGTGAGACTACTGAGTACTTAAAACGTGACTGGTGAGATTGAGGAACTCATTTTTTGTTTAATTTTACCTAATAGCCATATGAGGTTAATGGCTACTGTACTGAATTTCAGAATAAACAAAATCAGGTAAAACCGCATGTTAAACAAGAACAGGATGATAGGTTGCAAAAATGAAAATGACTCTGTATTATATTGTATTATATATTTAACATCAAAACACATGCCTCTACGTGTGTGTGTGTGTGTGAGAGAGAGAGAGAGGGGGGGGGGGTAGGTCTCACTTTATCAGTCTATGTGAACATAAAAAAAACTGGGGAGATGTATACCAAAAAATAATAGTTACCTAAGGATGTGGAGGGTGGCTAACCCCATCCTAAGGCAAATAAAAAGGAATAGATAAAAGGAGTTTTAAATTATATATTTATACATACAGAAATGTGTGTATATATAATGTGTTGTTGCGGAGAAAGACTGAAACTAATTACAAATATAACATCAAAACAAATCTCTACATCAAAATATAATTTAATGAGTCTTTTAAAGTCATGAATTAAAGTATGTGTGACAGTGATGTAGGGATGATTAGAAAGTGCTGAAAGCAATTATTTTCAATTAATGCCCCCTTCCCATTATCAGCACACACAATTGTGTTTTGGCTTCCTGTTTGCCAAAGGATAAGGCAGGGGGAATGTTGTATGATAATTATTTTAAAAGGGTACAGGGATGCTGCATTAGATTCTGGAGGGGATTTGTTATGTGGGAATTGCATAATGCTTAAATGTGTTTTGTTTGGTCATGCCTTCTGTTGTTTCATTTAAGAGGGGAGAGCATTAATACAAGTGCAATTCAATGAAAAATGTTTGTGTAATGTGATCTATAAATGGCTTCCTAGTGACTTTATTTTCCCTAGGAATTAAATTAAGAGATTACATTTTAAAAATATCAAGTAAATAACATGTAATACACTTAACAGTGGTAGCAATAGAAAGTGGAGCTAAGTTGGGCTTAATGGCTCATGCCTATAATCCCAGCTACTTGGCGCTCTACCACTGAGCTACAGTCCCCATCCCAGATGACCTATTTTTTCATAATATAACCTTTTATTCTATTTGAAAAATTTCCATAGGCAAATGTTAACCATTTAAAGATATTTTGAAGTTATAATTTTTAATTAATGCTGCTTTTGAAAAAAATATATAATATTTCTATTCCCTTTAAAAGCCATTGGAGCCAGTTGTGGTGGTACAAGCCTGTAAACCCAGCTATTTGGGAGGCTGAGGAAGGAGAATTGCAAGTTTGAGGTCAGCCTGTGCAATTTAGTGGGATCCTGACTCCAAATAAGATTAAAAGAGGTAGAGAGATCTCAGTGGTATATTGTTTGCCTTGCATGTATGAGGCCCTGGGTTCAATCTCCAATACTGTTCAAAAAAAAAAAAAAAATCCATTGGTGCCCTCTTTTAATGCCAAATTTTTGTGACAACATTAGCAATTAGCATGAAGTATCCCACAGATTCCAGAATGTGTTATTTATCCCAATCAGTTATATATTGTACAACTTGAGGATGAATTTAAAATAGTGCATCTGAACTATAAAGATGCACTATTTATTTATCCCTAGTGGTACTAGGGATAGAACTCTGGGATGCTTTACCATTGAATTATATCCTTGTCCTTATATTTTAAAAATTTGAGACAGGGTCTTGCCAAGTTGCTGAAGCTGGTCTCAAACTTGCACTCTTCCTGTGTAGCAGGGATTACAGGTGTGTGCCACTGTACTGCACACAGTCATTTTATCTATTTTAGTGCACCCATATCTTTCTTTCAGCTCAAGAGTGGTTGACAATTCAAGTAGAACTGCATTTAAATATGTTTTAATAAGGAATTAAAACAGGTGTAATTATAAATATTTGTTACTGCTTTGAATTAGTGTATACAGCCTTATAATAGTATTTTTTCTTTTTGGTTAAAGTTGCCATTGCCCCAAATGGAGCCTTACAGTTGGCCAGTCCAGGCACCGATGGAGTACAGGGACTTCAGACATTAACCATGACAAATTCAGGCAGTACTCAGCAAGGCACAATCCTACAGTATGCACAGACCTCTGATGGACAACAAATACTTGTGCCCAGCAACCAGGTGGTTGTACAAAGTAAGTATATTTAACTATCTATAGAAACTGTCCCAAAGTTCTTTCAAATACACATATCAATTAATGTACTTTTTTGACTATACAGCTGCATCAGGAGATATGCAGACATATCAGATCCGCACCACACCTTCGGCTACTTCACTGCCACAAACTGTGGTGATGACATCCCCTGTGACTCTAACATCTCAGACAGCTAAGACAGATGACCCCCAATTAAAAAGAGAAATAAGGTTGATGAAAAACAGGTAGGTGATAAAGTTATACTATCAAAATATGTAAGGTTGGGCTGGGGTTGTGGCTCAGCGGTAGAGCACTCACCTAGCACATTCGAGACCCTGGGTTCGATCCTCCGCACCACATAAAAAATCAATAAACAAAAGAAAGGTATTGTGTACAACTGAAAAATAAATATTAAAAAAAATATGTAAGGCTTTTTGTAAGTCTCAAAACATAACCAGATGCTAGTTGAAATTGTATAATTAGAAATAAGAAGGGGGTTTATATCAATTTTATTTTACTATTATGTCCAATGGATCAGTGAATCCCATTGATTAGTCTCTTTATTCAATATGGCATATGACCTAGAATTCTTCCAGTTTTATTGTGACCTTTGAAAATAGCACTGTTGGGTAAAACTTTTCAAATATTTGGCTTTGGCATAAGGGAATATTGTCCCTGGTTTGATCTACCCAAACCACTAAAACTTCCTACATATCAAGGCTGATTCACTTTCCAACGTGTTCACTGGAGTAGCACTTCTCATTGTCTTTAAGAACTTTTCCTTTGCACTCACAGCTTGTTTACCTGTTTGGCCAAGAAAAATTTGGCCTATCATCTTTCAATAGGCCTTCCTCCCTAAGCTTAATCATTTCTAGCTTTTGATTTAAAATGAAAGATGTGCAATTTTTTTCTTCTTTCATTGTAGGGTTATAAATTGGCTTAATTTCAATATTATGTCTCAGGGAATAAGGAAATCCAATGAGAGGGAAAGAGATAAATTTGCTGCCTTATGTGGGCACTGTTCATGATACCCCAAAACATATTTGTAACAGTAAAGATTGCCCTAACAGATAAAATAATAATAATGAAGAAGTATGAAATATGTAAGAATTACCAAAATGTGACACAGAATCATAAAGTAGGCTCAACACATTACTTGTAAAGCACAATGTGATAAAACAAAATACAGAGCTGTGTGCTTGGTGGTGCATGCCTATAATCCCAAGATTCTCAGGAGGCTGAGGCAGGAGGATTGATTACAAATTTGAAGTTGGCCTCAGCAACTTAGTGAGACCCTGTCCCAAATTAAAAAAAAAAAAAAGTATCCTATAATTTGTTGCTTTCTATTGACTAGAACAAAAGAAGAGAGGGTTATTGGTATTCTGCATAATATATAGTCAGACATAAAATATAGCAGGGAAGTTTGCTCATAAAAATACAGCAGGGTGATTTAACTCCCAGAAACATTTACTTTCATCTTAAATTATTTTAAACATTACTATACATGATATATTTTAAAGATTACTAAGGAATAAGGGAAGGAAATATATCTCATAACCTTAAATCAGATATGAGTAACTGCTGCTTGAGAAAATGCATATAATGGGTAACATTTTATACTGTGTTCAGGAGGGGAAAAAAGGTACTAATAAATTGTATTAGAAATAAAAAACGTAAATAGTCACATACAGAATAGATCAGGAGACTCAATCACTGAGCCATTCCCCAGTCCTATTTTATATTTTATTTAGAGATAGAGTCTCAATGAGTTGTTTAGCACTTCGCTTTTACTGAGGTTGGTTTTGAACTTGCAATTCTCCTGTCTCAGCCTCCAAAGCCCCTGGGATTACAGGCGTGCGCCACCGTGCCTGGCTAGAATAGATTTTAAAAATTACCGTGTGCTTCTGTTTTCAGTTCCACATAAATAAGAAAAATAGAACAAAAGATTCGTATTTTTTAAATTTATTTATTTTTTGTTGTAGTTGGACACAATACCTTTATTTTATTTATTTATTTTTATGTGGTGCCAAGGATTGAACCCAGGGCCTCACATGTGCTAGGCAAATGCTCCACCACTGAGCTACAACCCCAGCCCAAGATTCGTATTTTTAAAGCAATAAAGATCACCATAAAACCTTATAATAGATGCACTTAATTGTTGAAAAATAAAATATTTCTTTAACCAAAAACTGACAGCAAGATTCACTGCAGATGAACTTGGTAACAATGCAGGAACCAGCAAATGTAGCAGTATAAGAAAAGGAACTAATCATTTAAATATTAGAAGAGAATTGCATTTCTTTGTATACCTAGATAACCCAAGAAACTTGTTAAAAATTACTAGAATGAGACTTTTCTTTCTCATAATATGACCTCGGCTACAATTTTTTTCTATTTTGGTACTAGGAAATGAACCCAGAGGCATCCTATCACTATGATACATTCCCTATCCTTCTTATTTTGAGACAAGGTTAGCTAGGTTGCTAAGGCTAGCCTCAAACTTGTGATCCTTCTGCCCCAGCCTCCCAAGTCACTGGGATTACAGGAATGTGGCACCGGGCCCAGGTAGGCTATATGATATTTTTTAAAGAATGGGCAAATATAAAAACCACCTTTTGAAGATATTGGATAAGCCTACAGGAAAGTAAGAGAAATCTGTTAAGGTTAGGAATTGAGCAAAAAGCATAAAACCAACCATTGAGGCAGCCCCATCTGTCTAGACATGCATTCAAATCTCCTTGATCAATATAGCTTTGGTGTGCAAAGAAGACTAGGGACAGTGTCTTGGACCTGTGTAGACTAGGGAACTAGATCAGAGATTATTCACTATGCCATCAACTGAGAAATATAATTAAAAATGGTCTAAATCACAGTACCCTCAAATTCCCTGGAGGAAAGCACTTTATACAGGCTTTAGAAGTGAATTCCCATATATCAAGTTCTAACAAATACAAGTTTAAAAATCACAGAAGACCCATAGAATCAGGCAGCCTTGATATGTGCCAAGTCCTTATGTAATTTGTGCAAAAGTTTTTTTTAGGTGAAAATTTATTTCTATCATTTTGAGCTGAGGAAACTGAGGTTTAGAGAGGTTAATGATTTGCCAAAAGTTACACTGCTTAGTAAGTGGTAGCAAAGTATGATTTCAATCAGGAATCCAGGCTTGAGTTTAAGGTTTTAGAAATACTCCACTGTCTTTCACAAGTGAAAGTCAGCAGAAACAATTAACAACAGAATTGAGTTTTGTAAAGTCTTCAAGTTATCTAAGGGATAAAGGGAAGGAAATATATCTCATAACTTAAATCATTAAAGAGGGCTGGGGTTGTGGCTCAGTGGTAGAGCTCTCACCTAGCACAAGTGACTAGGGTCAATCCTCAGCACCACATAAAACTAAAATAAAGGTATTGTGTTCACCTACAACTAAAAAAATATATGCTTAATTTAAAAATCATTAAAGATCAGGAGACTATAAAAATTAAAACTGGAATGGAAAATGTAAAATTGTTATTAGCAAAGATATATTCATCTTGCCTAAAATATCTAAGAAAATAAAATACTATTTGAAATATTGAAAAAGAACCAGTTCACTTCATCATTATAACTCCTTGCTAATTTAATAAAATTGGAAAAAGAAACAAAAATTATAAGGATTGAATTAACACTATTCCTGTTGCTATACAGTTGTTTACCAAGAGAAATCCAAATGGATCTACTGAAAAATTATTAGAAGTAATGAATTTATAAAGGTTTTTTTAGATACAATATTAGTGTTTTAAAAGTCAGTTGTATTGGGCTGGGGATGTGGCTCAAGTGGTAGCGCACTTGCCTGGCATGTGTGCGGCCCGGGTTCGATCCTCAGCACCACATACAAAGATGTTGTCTCTGCCGAAAACTAAAATGTAAATAAAATATTTAAAAAAAAAAAAAAAAGTCAGTTGTATTTCTTTGCATCAGCAAATAAAATGTTTACAAATATTTTTAAGAAGGAATCATTTATGTGATCAGCAATTCATGTTACTTGATAATAAATCTAGCAAGATATTTAGGACCTTTATAGAAAATATTATAAAACATTTTTGAAAGATATTAAGGAAAATCTAAATAAATGGAATATATACTACATCCATATATATAGAAACTCAGTATTATAAAAATGACTATTTTTCTCAGTTTGATCCATTAGATTTTGCATTTCCAATGAAATTCCATGCAGGTTGCTTAAAGAACTTGACAAGTTGATTCTAAAATTTATAGCCAAAGTATTCTAGAATAAGGCGAGGAGATACCAAGTCCTATTGAAAGCTGTGGTAATTAAAATTGTGTGATATTGACATTAATATAAACCAGTGAAGCAGAATAGAGAGCTCCCCAAACAGATCTGTGAATATATGAAACACTGGTGATCAATGGAGCATATCATTGAGACTCTTCAACAAATGGTACTAGACAATCTAATTAATATGTGAAGAAAATATTAGATTTCTTCCTTGTTACCATACAAAAAAATTCATTCTAGTTAGATTGAAAAATGTGAAAGATGAAATTTTAAAACTTGTAGATAAAACTGTATAATCTCATAGACTCAGGATAGGGAAGAATTTTCTAAACAGGACAACACACACAAAACGATTCAGATTAATGTGTATGATTTCATTAAAATGAATAACTTCTGCCGGGTGCAGTGGTAAACACCTGTAATCCCAATGGCTCAGGAGGCTGAAGCAGGAGGATCATGAGTTCAAAGCCAGCCTCAACAAAAGCGAAGTGCTAAGCAATTCTGAGACCCTGTCTCTAAATAAAATATAAAAGTAGGACTGGGGGTACAGCTCAATGGTTGAGTGCCCCTAAGTTCAATCCCCAGTACCCCCCCCAAAAAAAAACCAACTTCTTTTCATCAAAAGATAACACAAAGAAAATATAAGCTTTAAACTTACAGAGGAGATCTGTTAAGAAAATTTATTTGAAAAAATATAAAGATATTCTAAACCAAAAAAGTACGACCTAATAGGAAAAAACTTAGCAAAAAATATGAATAGTCAGTTCTCAGAAAACATAGCATAATGATCATATGAAAGAGTACCCATTTTTATTAGTAATCAGAGAACTACAAAGAGAAAAGACGGTGGAATGAGATGGACATTATTACCCCAAGTACATGTATGAAGACATGAATGGTGTGAATATACTTTTTTTAAAGTTTTTTTTAGTTGTAGTTAGACACAATACCTTTATTTTATTTATTTATTTTTTTAAGACCTTTATTTTATTTATTTATATGTGGTGCTAAGGATCAAACCCAGGGCCTCACACATGCTAGGCAAACACTCTACTGCTGAACCACAACCCCAGGCCCTATTTTTATTTATTTTTATGTGTTGCTGAGGATCGAACTCAGTACCTTGCACGTGCTAGGCGAGTGCTGTACCACTGAGCTGCAACCCCAGCTGACTCTACTTTATGTACAACCAGAGACATGAAAATTTGTGCTCTATATATTTACTATGAATTGAAATGCATTCTACTGTCATATATAACATATTAGAATAAATAAATAAATAAAATTTTTTAAAAGGAAGGAAGTTTTAAAAACAATAGTAATATTTAAATTTAAAATTTAATAAAGTGTTGGGTTCTCTAGAGAAACAGAATCAACATGATATATATTAGTAATCATAAAAGTACACATTAAAACTACATACTTTGATACTATTTATATCCATCCAATTGACAAAACAGTTTACTTTTTTAAATATATTTTTTAGTTGTCAATAGACCTTTTTTTTTTCTTTTAATTTTTTTTTTTTTTTTTTGAGAGAGAATTTTAATATTTATTTTTTAGTTATCGGCAGACACAACATCTTTGTTTTGTATGTGGTGCTGAGGATCAAA